TTATCCTCTTCGCGCGCCCGAATCGGTCGCCAGGGAAGCATCGGGCGCGCGAAGAGGATAAACTCACGGCTCAGCCAATCCTTACCGCTTGGAGGCCGCGATCAGTTGAGCGCAGGCTGCGGTCGCCTCAAGGTTCTCCGGTCATCCTCCTTTTTTTTTTCCTCCGGTCAAGAAGTGGCCCGGGCCCCTTGTCAATCAAACGACGATCCAATCCGATGCGGCGAATGCTTCCGTTGTGGAGTTAGCCAATCGCCTGACGAGCTTCTACTTGGTGACGAGATTCAAACGGTGGGAAGGCGGCACCTCCACCCCACCCCCCACCCCCACCCCTCCACGAAGTGACGAAGAGTGTTAATAACACGAAACGCGGTGAGTTGCTCCGTCCTTGCGCTCTTCCCTTCGGTCCTCGGTGGAGTTTTGCTCCATTAGTCCCCCCCTAACGGCCTTCCTCTGAAGTCGAGCGCGGTGCTCTTGATGTCCTTGCAGGCCTTTCCCGGTTGGAGGGGCTTTTCCGCGGCCCGTTTTGCTGCTCCCCTTCCTCGTCCCCCTCTTTGAGTCGCTGCCGCCTTCGGCATATTCGTCTCATTTCGTCTTCCTCCTCTCCCGGGTTTGCTTTTGATGGAAAGCCGAGCCTTTCTCCTCGCCGTTTGGGTCCCGCTGATCGGAGCAAGAGCCTGATTTCGCTGTAAAAGAAAAAAAAAAGTATGTGCGTGTGGCGGGGTGATGGTCGACCCAGAGAAGGCCAAGAACGTATTTCAAAAGGGTCAGGGGAAGCGAGGCATATGAAGTGCTGCTCTCAGACGTTCAGGTTTTTTTTAGTGGAAAAGGGCTTCTGAAATATCCCATGGCTTTCTGTAGGATGCGTGGCATTGAACGTGCAGATGTTTCCCTCTTTCCCACAGCTGGCTCATAGTTCTCAACTTCGGGTTGCTGCAACTCTCATTCCCTTTACAAATCTGTATGACTGCTACTTCCACTACCTGAACAAAACCCAAGGATTTCGTTGGGGCTAGATTTAAAAAAAACAAAACAAAAAAGGAGCACACACTTGGGAACCAAATTTAAATCTATGTATTAGGCAAAACAATGGTAGAACCCTCTTATTTTCAAAGAAAAGAAAAAGATGTTGACCTCACTTCATTCTTAAGAGGTTGTGCATAACATGGCTACCATGCCTGTCCTACCATCCCTCCTTACTTCATATCCATTTCTTGTATTCATAATCATGTTTATACATATTTGTTATACATGCTTGACAAAATAACTAAAATTAAAGCAGCCAAATTCATTACTTCTCAAAAGAAAAGGATTGCTGCATAGCCCCTCAGGGTCCTACTTTTACTCAACCCCTGACCAACTTTCAATCGGGCTGATTTTTTTCTTCCAACAGCAGCAGTTGGGAGCAAATACCCAACAATGATCCAGCAGGAGCTGACACTTCGCGTGCCCTCCGATATAGCTACGCATGCCATAGGTTCACCATCACAGGCATAGAGTTTCTGTTGAACCATCACTACATGGAAAAACCAAAGATATAGAGGAGTACCTTTAAAATGTCCAAGGACTGCTAAGAATGTAGTATTCAACCTGGCTAAAGGGAACGTCTTATGAAACTTTAAAATTGGAATGGATGATAAATATGTGGTTGGAAGGGAAGTGTATATGATACCTTACTTAGCCTATTTGGAAATCTGTATCCCAGATTTGTTGCTTTCTAGCATTATCAAACCTAATGTGCACAGACTTTCCATAGAGAAGTCCAGCAACTGAGTTTTATCTAAGACTTTTTAAAGCCATGGTGATTTAGGCAGGAGCAATCTCTTCTGCAGTATTAACAGCAGACATAAGCCAGGGCCAGTCCTAGCTGTTTTTTATCATTGTTTTGTTATCCTTTATATAGTGTTTTCCTCTCCTGTCAAAATCATGCCATGTTCCCATCACAAAGTACTCCTTACTACTTGCTTAGCTCTTTCACATCAACCACTCATCCAGTTATCTTTTGCTGCATTTTAACAGTGCCCCACCCATTTTTTTTTCTTGGAAGCTTTCCATAACTGGTGAAGCATATGACTTTTTTGCCTTTTGTTCAATAAACTCAATGCAGCATTCCCGCTTTTCTACATCATGCATCTTCTTTTTCAACTTCATATATTAGGTTGGGAGAGAGTGACTGAACAAAGCTTTCTGACTGGGTTTAAAAGTTGGGTTTCCATAGGCATATCCTATTTCTCTCTGTGTGTTATATTCTAACAATCCCAAATGTTCTGTGTTCCTTACAACTGCAGGGAAACTTTAATTTCAACCACTCCATATTCCCACATTTGTGCACTTTTGGGTACCCTACCCTTTGCCACATACGCCTGCTGCCCCCAACTGACCTCCACTGTCTTCTGGCCCTGGATCTAGTTCTAGGATTTCTGTAGTGAGTCTGAGATGACAGCTGAGCCTCATCTGCCAAAGACAGTTTGATGGACCAGGCCTGGGAGAAGACAACAGGGTTGCGAAGCATTCTTTGTCAGTTAAGGAAGGAGAGCTGGCAGTGGCTCTTTGGGCAAAGCTGGAGGCTGTTGGGAGGCATTGTTTAGAATGGTGGCATAACGGGAGGAAACTGAAGGTTGCAGGCTTCCCAGGGACACAGCATATACTCTGCAGCTCATGTTGGAAGCAATTCTAGAAACCCAGCGGGTTGGGTGAATTGAAATGAAGCTGATTGCGGCAGAAGAAATGTGAGGCCCCCATCTAACAGAACTCTCTTGCTTGATCAACTGCAATTGGAAATAATTGATATTGTCTCTGTTGACAAGCAATCACTCTATCTTTGATAGCATCCTTGGTGTTTCTGGACTCGAAGATTTTGTAAAAATTGTAGGTGGAAACAATGGTTAGAAGGACCTTTGCCTAGTTCAGCTGGTATGCCTATTGTATATTTACCTACTACAGGAGGACTTCGTTGTAAACAAATTCTCATCATCACCTAATTGCACCATTACAGCACATTTTGCAGGAAGTCCTCGAATTATGACCAAAATTGAGTCCAAAATTTCCATTGCCAACTGAGACAGTTGTTAAGTGAGTTTTACCCCATTTCATAACCTTTCTTGCCACTATTAAGTGAATCAGTGAGGTTGTTAAATTAGTAACATGGTTAGTAAGTGAATCTGTCTTCTTCATTGACTTTGCTTATTGGAAGGTCGTAAAAGGTGATCAGATGATCCCAAGACACTGCAGCCATCATAAATATGGACTGGTTGCCGAGCATCCAAATTTTGATCATGTGATCAAGGGGTTGCTGCTACAGTTGTTAAGTGCGAAAAATGGTCATAAGTCACTTTTTTTCGGTACCATTTGAACAGTTTCTAAACAAATGGTTTTAAGTTTAGGACTACCGTATAAGACGCACCAATATTTTGAAGATGCAAATAAAAAAAAAGTTTTTGCATTCTGCAGACCTCCCCAAAATGGCCCATTTTTTGTCAAAAAAGGGCACGCATAGCCTTTAGGAGACTTATAGAATGTTCCTAGGGCTGGAAGCTCCCTTTTTGCTCATTTCTGCCCTCCCCAGCCCCCAGAAGTACTCTGGAAGCCTCCTAAAGGCTATGCATGGCCATTTTGGTGAAGGGGGCAGGGTTTCGGGAGGCCAAAAATGCTGTATTCAGTGTATAAGACGCACCCAGATTTTCAGCCTCTTTTGAGGAAAAAGTGCTTCTTATATTCTGAAAAATACGGTACCTGTATATTGGATTGCTCTTAAAAATAATTTAAAAACTATGATTGGTTCATAATAGTGACTTGTGTACTTTGATCCTTAGCAATGGGAACAGCTGATATTTGAAGAAATTAACATAAGGGAAAATATATCATGAAGACAGGCTGTGGTGAATAGTTAGATGATCTAAATTCTATAGAATATTATTTGCATTGAAGAAAATAATTAATTTTTGCAATTCTCCTTTCTAGTGAATTAGGTGTTTGTTAGAAACCATACATGGGTGATATGTTCTGAGAGCATTGAGGCACATATTTTGATATATGCTGTGACATCATATTATGCATCAGTTAGATAAACAGCAGGGAGAAAGTGATATTTTTGTTTGGTATGATTCTGTTTCATTTCTCAAAAGCTTTTTTCCCCATAGAGTCAGTTGATGAATACTGTGGTTGGTTCATCTTAGGTAAAAGATAAGATACTTGAAGAAGATATAAAGTGTTTTTTGGGTTGAACCAATCATAGGTTGGTGAAATCGCAAGGATTATTAAAGTAATAAACATCTGTTATAATTATTACAGGTTTTGAAGAAAATTGAAATAATAATGGATGAGAAAATTGGCTTTTATTAGGTTCACAGTATTGCTATCATCACTATTTCATAATGGTTTATAGTGGATCTTTGTGGTATCAGTATATAGAAATTCATTCCTAGAGAAAATCATATTGGTGATGATTGTTAGTGGACTATATATTTAAGGCTTGTGCCAAAACAATGGCAATTTAGTTTGTATGTTTTAAATAATACACAGAGATCCAAAATCAAGACTCTTAGAATATATTGAGAAACATTCACTTCTACACAGGTATAGCACATTTCCTTTATAGGGTGATTTAATTAATTCCAATGTTTCTTAATGTAATTTATTAGGTTCATATCCTATTTTTTTCTTTAGTCAGTATAGTATTCCTCCAATTTATTTAAAAGCTCAAGTCAGTATTACATTCCTCCAATTTATTCCCATAACAATGACCCCATGAGGTGGTTTGTGCTAAAAGAATGACAGACTCAAAGTCATCAAGTGAGATCTGGTAATCCTGGGTCTTTCCGTTGTCTACCTAACAATTTTAAGATGAATTCCTGGCTGGCTTAGGAATTCTGGGAGGCGAAGTCCACAAGTCATAAATTTCCCACCCCGGCTTTAAATCCTGCATTATGTTGGCTTTTTGATAAGAATAACAGCTGTTTTATCTATAGAGCATAGCCATAATTATAAGGCTCTTATTTATTAAATGTCTGATTTGGATATACTTAATTAGTGTATCCAGTTGAGTGATCTAAACATTCTTACTGGATGAAAATAAGGACATAGATTTAATCATGCTTTTTATGGTTATCCTCAGATTTTGCATAACTGGGACCATTGCGACTCATTTTAGATGTCAGTATTGCACTTGAGTTAGTGATAGAAATAGTTAAAATCTAAATGTGATAGTTGCAGTGGCAGAAAGGTCCTGGTGGTTTATGGAAATAAGTCTTGTAATAAACATAGATGATATGTCATATTCCTTAACACCTTTCATTTTGCAGCCCATTCTGCCATCTTTTCCCCCCTTCTGTGTTCCTACACGTGGTTGCCAACTGAGAAAAACATTTGATCTGCCTATTATAATTGGCTTTTGTCCTTGCTGGTTTTTGTCACAATACATTTATGTATTTTTCAGAGTATAAGACGCACCTCCCTGCCCCCCAAAAAGGGTGAAAATCTGGGTGCGTTGTATACACTGAATACAGCATTTTTGGCCTCCCAAAATCCCGCCCCGCATATCCCGTTTTTCACAAAAATGGATGTGCAGAGGTTTTTGGGAGGCCTGAAGGCTGTGAAGGGCAAAAATGAGTGACAATGGACCCATTTTTCACAGAAATAAGGATGTTCTTGTCCTCACAAGCCACCAGGAGCACTCTGCAGGGCTTCCAAACTCCCTGCATTTCCCATTTTTTGTGGAAAAACAGGCCCGTTTTTGTGAAAAATGGNCTGTTTTTTGCTCGTTTTTGCCCTCCCCAGCCCCCAGGAGCACTCTACAGGCCTTCCAAACCCTCTGCATGCCCTGTTTTTGATCTCCCAAACCCCTCAAGTATCACGTTTTTGCCCTCTCTGGCCCCCAGGAACACTTTACAGGACTCCCAAACTCTCTGTACGCCCCATTGTTCACAAAAAATGGGGTGCCCAGAGGATTTGGGAGGCCTGTAGAGTGCTCCTGGGGGCGGGGAGGGCAAAAACCTTATTTTTTAAATTTACCTCTTCAAAATCTTGGTGCGTATTATATTCTGCTACATCTTACAGTCTGAAAAATATAGTATTTGTTGCAGCATTCTAAATGTATCTACCTCTCTAGAGAGGGAACACTGTAGTGTGTCATCAGGAAGTGTGCCAATTGAGATCCAAAAAGCATTTGTTTGTTTCCAAACTCTTGCAAGTCCATATTTGTTCAAGATGCTAGGATCAGTTAAGGCAAGGGAGTGATTTGTTTGTGAAAAAAAAATCATTCAATCAGAGAAACAAACTGAGCAAAATCTTTTATTGCCAGTGGGAGAAGTTGGCTAACACTGTGGTGGTGTAAATGCAAATTATGCTTCCTCTCGCCTCCACACGACTGAGATTTGGGACATTAGGTCTGGTATTAGTATAAAACTATGTTTCTTAATTCTTGTGTGCGAGTGTGGGAATGCTTTGTCGAGAGCAGTAGCAATCTTGCTTAATTTTCAAGGATTATTTAAGATAGACTGAAAGATTTTGTGCCTTCATGTGCATATGCAATTAAGTTAGAAAATGAATGTGAGATTACTGTTGACATTTGCTTTCCAAATTGTTTCCATTTCAACTCATAGTGGTGGAGTTGTTTATAGGATTATGTTGTGCTTATTGTCATTGCCCAGTATGAGTAAAAGAGTAGTGTTTTCTTAGCCAATATGCTAAGCTTCAAGTTGCTTTAAAATTACATTAAACAAAATAATGTATTGGCTAAATTGCAGAGTAATAGATAACGATCAAGTATTGTTGATACTTCAAAGATATAATCTAAAAATATATCCCATTTTTTTCTTTAACTATGGATTTCCCTGGCTATAATCCACCAAGCTAATGACAAAAGAGCTTGATATACTTTGAATCTACAAAACCAGATGTGATTGTCAAGCATCTACCCCAATGTATCCTGTGGGTCACATTTCACTTTTGTAGATTGAAAGGTGAATAGGCCTGATTTTTGTAAGATTTTTATGGATGTCTTTGAAAGTATTATCACTGCAGTCTCAGTTCTTACAATCAGGTTACAATGAATCACATAAAATTAATATTCATCTGATTCAAGATTAAGGTCTAAGTACCTAAAATATCTTAATAAATTGCTTTCCACAATATGGAAAAATAACTGGACCATATCAAAATCCATATGACTGTAAGTCAGTCTTTCTTATAATAATCCAAAGTTTTTCTCTATTAATAATTTTTTTGGCAGCCTGGTACCATTTTCCTCATTCACTTATATTTTCGGCCCCAGCTTCTTATGAACTATCTACATTATGGAAGAGCCTATTGAGGAATTTTATGGATGTAGAAAAGGATCCACAAGATAAAAACCCACTTTTTCCAACACTAGATAAATTTCATTATTTATAACGATTTGTAACAAAACATTAGCATCAACGTTTCTTTTTAAATTCTTCATGCAATATTTTTTCTCCTGTTTTGATCAAATCTGGTATTTCAGTTACTATAGTTCTTAGTTCTTATGACTCTGCACTGTGTGGAAGTAAAGACATCAATCCTCTGTTATCAGAAAATTGAATATGTTTGCGTGTATTAAGATTGCAACAGTGTGGCTGGTTCTGCATATGAATTAATTTTATGCAAGGGGAATCATTGTGTATTTATTGTATATTCTAATAAATTAACACAAACTTCATTAGTCAATATTTTCAAGAAGGAAAAACAGTCAAGATTTTTAGAAAAAAACCTCAGGAAAAATATTGAGATGTACAAATGACTATTAAGGGGTGTGCTTTATTTCCCCCCCCCCCCCCAAGAAGAGGAAGGGAAACTGTGCTAGTACTGAAGAGAATTGTTTGAGTGAATAAAAAAACCAGTCAGAAAAGAGGCTGAACAAGAAGAGCTACACTAGCTAACTTTAGCAAATCAATGAATGAAAGCAAATCTCAACAACAGATCAAACAGAAGAGCCAGTCATTCCCAATTTACAAATAATATCTACTATCTTCAGACTCTAAGAAGTTGGAGAAAATCAGGTTTGCCAAGTGAAAGTAAATCTCCAAACAGCCTAGAAAAGATGGTTAAGCAAGAATGACTCAAAAAGAAGTGACCGCCTTTGTCAGCTCTTCAAAGTAGACAAGGTCAAGAAAGAGGTAGTATTAGGAGTCTTTAATACACTATAATGAGGTTTAGATTATTGCAATAGACTCTTGAAAGCTTGTCAAAGCCCCTTTCTATCTCTTTTTATACTTGACCCAATCAAGGTGGACCTGTTTTCAGATTTTTTCCCCCCAGGCTTTCTACTTTCTCAGGAACCAGATACCTTTTCTGTAATGGTTCAGCATTCTCCTCCTACTTACATACCTTCTCGTCCGGCAGGATCAATGAGAAACATGTGCTCAGAGATAAATGGACTTCATTTAAGAGGATGAAAGTTTGAGGACTCTATTAAACAGAGTTCCTCTCCTCTCCCTTCAGAGCAAATGGATGCAGTCGTTAGTTACACCTCTATAAAAAGGAAAAGAAACAATTGATTTTTGAGAGCAGAATTATTTCCTTTTCCATTAAAGTGGTTCACACAACTATTACAAAGAAGTAGAAATAAAGGAAGATTTGAATGTTTTTTTTTCCCTAACATCAGCGATACATTTAGTAGTAGATTTTAAAAATATATGACATTTTTATCTCTCACATCCTAGATTGTATACTTTTGATTTAGACTCTGAATGAGGATGGATTGGGGAGAGGCAAATGTGGCAATTCTGTGAAGTGGCTTTGTACTGCGTCACTGTTTGCTTTTGCAACTTTTCCCATCTCAGTACAGCCGGACTAGATTGTTAATGTGCTCCCTTGCCAGAAAACCTGAATGTATATGCTACACGTGATTATGCCACATTCTCAGCAAAGTTGCTTGGCTGGCTTTGTGGGAACACAGAAAATATTGCATTAAAAACTAAGCTAGGCAAATGCAAATATTTCCTACCAAGTTACTTATTTTTTTAATGTACAAATTAAAATGTTTTAAATTTCATTTAACTGAATTCTTAGTATATGTGCTGAATAAAGCAGAATTCGATAGATCTAAATTATTCTATTCTACTGAAATGTATAGCATTGCAATGTTTTTGCAATTAATTATTTCTGTAAAATACTGGTTATAAAGTTATCCCAGTTTCTTTTTAAAGCAAAAAACCATTCAGATTTTTACAAAGCTCTGTATTTAATATGACTTTTCTTTTTCTAGAGATGCAGGAAGATGATTTGAGTGAAAAGGGTCTGTTTGTCGCATCTATTATGAGTAGAGTTAGAGACCTAAAAAACAAATGTAAACATGAAGATAATGTTACAGATGAACTTAACTTTACTAAAGTATCAACTGATACAACAGGTATGTCACATTTTAGCTAAAGATCAACTGAATAGAAGAATTCCTTCCCTCCCCCCAATGATTAGTTTCTTTAATTTTTTTTAACAAATTATGTTCAGTAGACATATATTAAATTTCTTCTGACAGTTAAAAATATAGTTTCTCTTCTATAACTATTACTTTCTATTTTCCCTCCAACATTTTTCTAAGGTAAGCTATATGTTTTTGTATTGACACTTGTTTAACTTTGTTTGTTCCTCGAATCTTAAAGATTTAAGTAATACTTATTTTTTAATAGCCAAATATAAGAAACATTTGTTTATTTGTCAGTTAATGACCTCATCTGGAATGGCCTATTTTGAAATATGTTGCCTATTCATTCACTCTGTATTATTGTACTTACATGAATACGCGCACACACACAGAGGACTTCCAGTGGTCACTAGATATTTTGGGTTTCTTTCAATCAATTTGATTACCAAACCTACATTTCTGGGTGTAATGCATCTTCATATTTAATAAGAAGTAATTACATTAAAAAGCATTTAAATATAAGCATTTAAACTTAAATATTAAGTTGCATTATCTGATGCTGTTATGTAATGCACACAAACCACCAGTCCCTCTTCACAATAGTTGCATTATAAGTTAAAATAATAACCTGGATATATAATGGGAATTGTTATATCTACACACACACACACACACACACACACACACACACACACACCTGTTTGTTGATTACTATTTTGTGAGGAATTATTTCCTATATTAATTTTGAAGATGAATTTGTTTTTTTTGACAGTGCCTTAAAGACACTTTTTGTTTGTGTTTTAGATAATTCTGGAACTGTTAATCAGATTATGATGACTGCTAATAATCCTGAAGATTGGTTGAGTTTCTTACTCAAAATGGAGAAAAGGGGCACGTTTCAGACTGACACAAGCTTACTAAATAGATTGATTGGTCGTTACAGCCAAGCAGTTGTAGCACTGTCAGCAGAAAAATATAGCCAGAATGAAAATTATGCTCATATTCTGGTTAGATTTGCGGAACTGAAAGCGTAAGTATTTGCAATCTGGGAAAAAAATTCAAATGGACTCACGTTGATAGTGTTTTACACAAAACCATGCTTATTTTAACTATGTTTTCTTTTAGGAAAGCAAAATAATCCTGAGATTTCAATTTTAATTGCTTCCTTTTTGCTGCTTTTGTTTTGCCCTTGCATTTCTGGATTAGAAGCTTTGACTTTACACAGGCCCCATCTAGAACAGTGATAGGTTGCTACTGGTTTGCACCGGTTTGGGCGAACCGGTAGTGGCACTTGGGAATGTGTTGCCGAACTGGTAGGGACAGTAGGCTGGCCATGCCATGAACTGGTTCCCTGGTCGCCCATGCCGTTGCCAGCATGTTTTTTTGGTGTCATTTTATAATGTTTTGCACATGTGCATTTGTGCATGCACAAGCAACATGCGGCGTGCAACCGCGAGCGAAACGAGCAGCATGGGGATGAAGCAAACCGGCAGTAACGCCAGCAGCAACCCAGCCCTGATCTAGAACATAAGCTACTCCTGCTGTATCAGGCCTATCTTAACTCAACTTTTTATTTTACATATCCAGCCTCTGAGGTAGTCTCGAGGAGGTGGAGACAATCTTATGTTTCCATTGTTCCTCTGCAATTGGTGTTTAGAAGCATCTTTCCCTCAGTCTGGAAATTTTAAGCCATCAAGACTAATGGACCTTGATAGGCTTGTCTTTCATGAATTAATCCAGTTTTCTTTTAAAGCCATCCACATACTTGGCTATCATCATGGTAATTGATTTTACAACTTTTTTAAATTTATCTTTATTTGTCAAATTTATATGGCATTCCATCTAACCCAAATTGACTCGGGGTGGTGGTAGTACAATAAAACCAAGAATTTAAATACTTCTGTACAATAAAATCTATCTTCCACAAACTACCTCATATATAGAAACTCAGTAATGTATGACATATAGTCTCATGAAAAGCCAAACAATTTCCCTGTGAGCGAATCGCTGATTGTCTTTATCAGTTTATCAACCTTCCTGATATGACACTTGTTTGTTGCTGTTACTACCCCTCCACTTTGTATGTGATTACACAGCTCTTCTTGGTTCACCATTTTCACATTGTTTGGGACCAACAACCTAGAATACTTACAAAAATTCAACCCATTACTTAAAGCTTAGGAATGGGTACTTACTGCTGGCTTCTACTTCCAAAGAGTAACAACATAAGCCTCTTGCTTCCCATCCAATGAAGTGACAGAACAATCTAAAGAACATGACAGATATTCTGCCACACCAGTACTGCCATCTGTGGACAATTTATAACATTGGAGGTATTTGTAATGCAACCTTTGCGTGTGTAAAGTTATGTAGTTATTCTGCCATAATTTCTATTATTTAATCTTTACATAACTTGATTGCAATTGCTTTTTGACTGATCATACACTCTGTTCAAAATGATCCTTCTGGAGCTCTTCAGAATCACATTACTTTTCGCCACCCCAAAGAGATGGTGTCATTTTCATACTTGGCCAATTCACTGTTTACTGTTAAATCATGATAATTAAAAGTCACTTAAAAACTAAAACAGGTTCTTTAATCACTTTCATTAATATTTTCTGACAGTTTATTTGTATTTTTGTGTTATGTACTGCATATACAAATTCTTACAAGTTCTGTAACTTCTATCCCTTAACCACTAATTCAAATGCTTTTGAATATTCAAGTAAGCAAAGCTGATAGGGTGATCCCCAGCATTACATTTATTGAAGCTCTCAGAAAGTCTCCAAAAGTTTGGGGAGGCACGAGTTACAAAATTTCATATCCTTCCCTCCTTTTTCATTTAATTGCTCAAAAGTCTGATTTCATGAAGGAAGACTATTCGACAGAGTTCTTTTGAAAAGGAAAAACCTACTTCTTGGCCTTCCCTTCTTCCCTTTATGGAAGTAGAAAAGACATCATAATTTTCGGAGTATAAGAAGCACCTTTTTTCCTCAAAGAAGAGGCTGAAAATGTGGGTGAATACAGCATTTTTGGCCTCCCGAAACCCCTCCCCCTCCCCGAAAATGGCCGTGCATAGCTTTTAGGAGGCTTTTAAAGAGCTCCTGGGGGCTGGGGAGGGCAGAAATGAGCAAAAATGGGGCCGTTTTTTGTTTAATTTTGTCCCCCCCCCCACAAAACCCCAGGAGCACTTTATAAGCCTCCTAAAAGCTATTCATGCCTTTAAAAAAAAACAAAAAAATCAGGGCCGTTTTCTTGAAAAACAGGCCGTTTTTGGGAGGTTTGTAGAGTGCAAAAACTTTTTTTAAAAATTTCCCTCTTCAAAACCTTGGTGCGTCTTATACCTTGGTGCATCTTATACTCCAAAAAATATGGTAGGTTATCACATGTTTGTGTAGTATTATTTTCAGCAGACTGTGTTTTTCTATTGTTGTGACTTAGATGAAGTTCAGAG